CCCCGTCGCTTTTCCAATGAGAATTTTTATTCATGACTACAGGGGGTTGAAATTGACTCTTGAGTAAAACTAATGTTCTCGGGCTGGATGTGGGGGGGCTGGATAATTTTTCGAATTCCAGTAAGGGACGTTCCGGGAGGGTTGTAAATTGGCTATGACAAATGAGAGCCTGTGTGATTCAGACAACCACTGGCCTGGTACACCGGCGGGGAGGGCGAAAGGGACGACGTGAAAGTGATATTGGGGAAACATTGAAAAATCGTGTAGGAGTAAGGGAGGGGGAGGGGTGGTTTTCACCCTTATCATCTGAAGAATATAAATAAAATTCTCTCGGCTTTATTCCTGCCTAACTACGGGAAACCGGATATCGCCGTTACGAACAACGTTCCCGCGTCTACGGCCGTGTTAAGGGGGTTGAACGGGAGAGGGGCTGGGATTTATTTGCCGAAAGAGACGCTACCGCAGAGAGCGTCGCGACGCCTGTACCGAGTCTTCGTAACTCGACTCGGCTTAATTGGAGCCGGTGGCGGTGATAGGGAGAATTCCTGGACAAAATGAATCTCGTCTCCGGTTCCCGTTAAATTTTCTCCTTCCCTACCCTCCTGTCCTTTTCTTCTTCTTCTTTACGTACTTTATTTTACCATCCGCTCCCTTACGGGAATATTCAAACTCCCGACTCTCCGCTCTATCCTCTACCCGACTACCCTCCGGGATACACGGCGGCGCCGCCAATCCGGAAGTGCCTCGACTGAAAATTCTTCCACGGCCAAGAGGGGTGGATCCGGGAGAGGGGTTGGAAGGAAAGAAAAAAAAAAGAAAAGGGAAAGAGGAAGAGTTCACTGGAATTCGGAACGTATAACGTTAGAAATATGGGTTTTGGCACAGAACCGGAAGCGAGCGCAGACGGAAAACGAATAGCTAAGATGGTGGTTGCGCGGGGGGAGCGGAGGACTAGTGAATGAATAGAATGGTCCACGAAATTGGAGAGCCGGCAAATTACTTGAGGGTACGATGAAGGAAGAAAAGAGGGAGAAAAAAAGCCGAAGACCATAAACTCGTTCTGGTTCAACCCTTAATTTACGTGGTACAATGAGGCCTATCGATTAGTGTAAAGTGGAGTGTTTAATTAAAAAAAAAAAGAAATGGGATTCCCCCAAAGGGTATAAGAAAAAGGGGTAGCTGACACGTGGGTAAGAAACTGTGAGCTGATGGCACCGGGAATGAAATTGGTGGTGAGTAAAATTGGCGAGACGGACAAGCAGGGGGTGGTTCTTCCCACCGTCCGGTTACGTCAAACGGGAAATCAGCAGTTGTAATTACTTCTGGCAGCCCCCCCGGGCAGACAGTCGCTTCGCCCTTTACAACCCCCGAATCAGGCACTAACCATACGGAACCGCGAATGAACCACTTGACGGAATTCGTTCGCCGCCTTCTGGATTGCTGAAGGGGTGAAGGAAGAAAAACAAAGGAGAGGAGGAATTACGGTAAAACTTCAGCCGACTGTTTTACAGGAGACCCGGTAACCTCTTGCAATGGCACAGAGGGATGAAATCTCGCGTGGAGATCTAAAGGACCGACCTTCCAAAAAGTACTTTGCGGGGTGGCGGGGGG